GGGGGGGGGGCGTTGACTCAACGAGAATGATGTCGCTGGACCGAGATGAGGCATGGGGTAAGGCTGTGATCTCACGGCGGATATTCGATGGTTGCGTCTTACGGCGGGTGTCAAGGTCGCGCATTTAATCATGTACGTGTTATCTAAACAAGAGCAGTCTGGTTAGGCGTCGAGGCAATGGAACGAAGAATGGTTTTGAGGAAATTATTATAAGATTTAATGTAGATATTCAATGAAACTATGTCAAAATATGAAAAAATCTTCGTGAAGCTCTGGAAAAGAAATCGGAGGGAAATACCTGTTGAGATATTTACAGGTAAATATGATTGAGTATGTACTAGATTTATTGTNATATATATATATATATATATATATATATATATATATATATATATATATATATATATATATATATATGTAACGGAGAGGATTTATCAATGTGGAATAAAACAACCACTGTAGTTCACCACCATCTGAAATAAAATGCCGAACACAATTTTTTAATGATAAAAAAAAATTGAAATAATCTCTTAAGACCGTTGCTGACACCGCTTTTTCAGTATGATAGATCAGCGTAGGCACTGGAAGTTGCATGAACCATTCCAAGGGGATGTAGACATTGTGTAGGAGACAATAATAGNTGCGGACACCAACTAGTGAGAGATGAACATCAGTAATACCATCCGTTGCTTGCACCGCTTTTTCAGTATGATAGATCAGCGTAGGCACTGGAAGTTGCATGAACCATTCCAAGGGGATGTAGACATTGTGTAGGAGACAATAATAGGAGGTGTCTGCATCAGCTGCTCCTGCTGCATCATCAAACGATTGATAAGTCTGATCCCACATAAAAAAAGATATTGGTTCTAACATCTTCAAAATGTTGATTCAAAAAAATTTTTAATTGTAGTCGTCAATTTGGGGAAAATGAATGATAATAATTATCGAGTGGTATTATTGAAATTCAAGAGAGTACTAATGAGGTTTCATGTTGGAGACTCTGAGCAGTGATCTCACTGGAGGAGGGGATTGTTCTTTCGGAGAACTCGTGGTAGCATGAAGACTCTGTATACACTACCAACGTTTATATTGATACAGAGGGCACTCTACTATTGGTGGAGGAATTGAACTGCTTGAAGACCCTGCCAAAGCGGGCCAATGAGTGCGACAATAACGTAGACGTGCAATGCTTGGATCCTTCTTCATGCTCTCTGATAACTTCTCCCAAGCTGCATCCACAGTGGCTTTGGCAACAGTTTTTATAAAACATTTTGGAAGAAAAGAAATTTCCTCACTCGTCAAAGAATTTAAATGTCCAGTGTGACAATACTTTGTCAATGATTTCTCCAAGCACCCAGCATCGTACTTGGTAAACCACTTCTTCAAACGTTGCTCATTGACCACTGCACAAAATACTTTTTTAGCTGAAAATTAATAGGACCTCCATCAAAAAGACTATGATGATAGACATACTTTATTTCCACCTCCACATTCTCCAATACCGGACAACCAAAATCATCCAAATCAGTGATAGGTATTGCATTCTTGAGAATCTTCTCTAGCCAATTTTTCTTCTCCAGACCTTGAACGTAGATGTGTTTAACATCCTTCACCATAGCATTGATAAACTCACTCACTCACTCTATCATACTCAATTTCTCCAGGAGTATCCCAATGTAGCCCATGATAATGACGGGACAACCACTGATTCATTTCCCGATATTTAAGCAATAAATCCTCCCATTTGTGGGATGGATCCACCAAAACTGACTCATGAAGAAATTTTCCATCATCATCAAGCTCCAATGCTGATACTGCAAATTCTTTCAAGACAAACTGGTTGCCAAAATCTTTGAAACCCTCGATATCAATAACCACCGCCATGTTGCTATGATTCAATTGTAAAAGTAACTGAGAACTTTGCTCAGTCTTCTTGTTTCATCATCACCGCCCCTCCCTGGTTTTTAGCATGAGAGGTAGTGGACTTGGTGTCTGCATACTGTCTTGGAAATGTTACTTCAATAATTTTGTTATTGTCTGGACAAATTACATGATCTGCTCTCGAGATTCCAGGGAGAGATGTCAAACATAGCTGGACAATTTCGTTGGTGTTAGCACAGTAACGGTTTTCATTGAATGCCCTCGCATCAACAAGAGTCTGTGAAATTTCGCGAATTATTTTTCCGTTGGAGTCCTCGGAAGAAAAAATTTGTCTGGAGGTTTGGTAAGATCAAATGGTCATGTATTCATAATATTAATCCAATAACCGTTACGATACGATGATGACGTTTCTTCAAAGTCTGGTTTATATTTCGTGGCATGATGCAATAACCGTTGAATAAAATGGTGTTTGAGAGGANATCAGATGGTGGCAGTCAACCCGAAGATGACGCTTTCGTTATGAAGACCCTGTCAGTCAGTTTTATAAACCCCATGCTCGCATAGTGCAGGACATTTTAGATTCAGTGAGTCAAGTGTGAAGAGTTCTACTGCTATGTCTAGTGTTGGTGGATCTCCAACTGAGCAAGTTTCGACTTTGGAGATAATTACAATTCGTAATTTTGTGGATAACGTGAGGAGTTCTGAAAAAATGAAAAGAGATGTGCCATTGAGAGTGATGGGATCAGTGCACTCTTCCAATTCAGAAAATGAGTACGATAGTTTAACTGATGAGGAGTTTGTGCCTGGTGTGGTGGATTTTTCTGCAACTTCATCTGAGGCCGGAGATCCTGAGGGCATCTCCGAAGTAGAGACGTCAGATGGGGGAGGCATCCGACCAGAAGGAGACATCAGTTGGGGACTTACCTGTGAATGTTTCATCTGGAAGTTCTACTCCATTGCTTTTGGACACATCACAATCAACAATTGTTCCAGACTCAACAACTGATGTGTCAATCGAAAAACCTGTGGTTATTGACATGCCATCTGACAATATTAACTCTGTCGAGGAGAAAGTTGACAATATTCCCGACTCACCAGAGCCAGCAGAGGAGGATGTTATCAGCATTCCCGACTCACCAGAGAGCCCCGAGCCAGCAGAGAAGTGTATTTTGAATATTCTCGATTCACCAGAGAGCCCCGCACCAGCAGAGAAAAGTATTTTGAATATTCCCGACTCATTGGAGAGTTCCGAACCAGCAGAAAAGGGGATTTTGAATATTCCCGACTCACCGGAGAGTCCCGAACCAGCAGAGAAGGGTATTTTAAATATTCCCGACTCACCGAAGAGTCCGGAGGAGGATATTCTGATCATTGATGAGTCATCAGAGAGTCCAAAGCCAGCTGAAGACAATTTTACGGTGCCCGAGACATCGGTGATCATCTCGGAAAAACATCAACCTATGGACGTAGATTCATCGGAGGTGTTGGTATCAGATACCAGAAGTGATGAGTCAACATCATACAGTCCAGCACGATCATCAGATGACTCGAACGATGATGATGATGATGATGAGCAACTACGTGTTTTCGTGCCAGAGGAATGGAGGAGTCAATTGTCTGAGAGAGTCATGAAGAAAAAACTGAGAGCTGTTGTCAACAAACACTTCAAAATTGGTGGTACTTTCCTCACGCTTGGAGGTGTACGAGCTAAATTGATCTTCTGTCCTCACGGCAATGTATTTTTCAAGCCAATGAGAGCCCACAAACGACCTGAACGATTGCCCACAAACTTCGAAATTCATCCAATTGTAAGTATTAAATAAACTCCATGATAAAAAATGTATAAATTAAGAATTAAATACTCATCCATATCTTTTATTTCATTTGTTTCAGTTGTAAACCAGTATTGGATTTCGAGAGGAAAAATTCCCCGTTTTGTCTGCTTACGCTTATCTGACAGGATGATCAGAAACTATGGATTATTATTGCTTACGCTTCAATGAAGATTTTCCTTCCATAATACCGAACAAAATCATGATATTACGTGCATTACAAGTTTTTTCTAAAATTTTACTCTTTTTTTCATTATTATTATTTTGAAATTATCCATGTATTGAATAAAAAGAAAAATAGTTCATGTAAATATATTTCAATTATTAGTCTCAACCGTCTTCACAATCCTCCATTCCTCCAAAACATAAACATTGACGCTTTGAATGCCAGACGCCAGGCGCCCAACCGAGAAGGGGAGTGAAGTGTTTATTAAGTGGATACGCAGTCTTATTGCTCTGCTTCAGTACGTCTCAAACCATCCACGAGATAGTTGAAAAGTGTTTTGACAAGTTTGAAAGCAACGTAAGTATTTCAAATTTTGAGTGAAAAAAAGTGATTTTAGTGCATTTAAAAGCGATTTCGTGTGATTATTAACAAGTGTATGTTTATTACAGTGGAAAAAAAACATGAAGAATTATCCATTCCCAGACCCTGAGCAGAGGGAGGAGTGGAAGGAAGAGGACGCAGCCATGGAGGATTGGTGGCTGGAGCAGAAGGAGAACNCTCTAGAGGATTGGTGGCTGGAGCAGAAGGAGAACTGTTGGGATTATATCCCACACTATTACCCTTTGGTGGGACATTTGGCGGTACCAATGCACCAGGTTGTCAGTTTCCTGGCATATCTGGGAGATTTTCTGTGTGTTGCGAAGGTACAACAACAAATGATCAATTTAGTTGTTCATTTATTAATTTCTATAAATAATAATAATTTTCATGTAACTCATTTCTATATTTCTTGAGTGTTTATAGCAAGCTTCTGTTCATCAGGAGATGAGAGGATTTTTGAACTTCCTCCGTCTCGTCGATCGTGAGGAAGAGGCGAGGGAGATACTGCCACATGCGCGGTGCCTCACCATCGCCGCATGGCTCATTTTGGGCGTACAAGGTCGTTGCATCGAATAAAGTGAGTAAACATCATCTTCTTTCTACCATTTTCTTAAATGGCATTCAAGAAAAATTAATATTTATATATACGTTTCATCTGTTTCAGATGCTGTTGACTTATATTTTCAAAAATTATTACTATAGCTTTTAAAGATTTATGTATTAAGGTTCATTTTTTATTCATTAAAAAAAAATATATATATAATACTGAACAACAATTAAAGCTCAGTTTTCAAATTTATTTCTTCCCTACATCTTTTCAGGCTATTCAATACATTTCTTTTTTTATAAACGTAGTTGTAGGAATAGATTTATACTTTCAGCTCACTCAAGACGCAAGGATTATATCTCCCCTCCAAAAATTTTATTTTCAAACGTTTAGCAGCGGCAGTCAGGCGATAGGCTTCCAGTTTCGGCAAGTTCTCCAGGAAGGTGTCAGACAACCGCGCTGGTAAATACACGATGAACTCATCGTTCAACACAACGGCTACCTTGTCACCAAACTGTCTGGTAGAGATGATCTTCAAATCCGTCACTAGGTATTCCTCGTTCAGCGTCAGGTCTGCTCGACGTTTGGTAGGCAATAAATTCCCCAAAGCGATACAGTTAATTCCGTCCAGATCCAAATCCAGTGGTTGATCAGCCTCCATTTTTGTTTACTTTGCACTTCGTTCGATATAGGCTCAAGGATTGTATCGGCACCGTTGCAGACTTTAGACTGTCTCTTCAAGGGGTTGATGATCAGTACTTATAGGCTTACATGAGTGGAGGGGAGAGTTGCAATTATTCCTGATCATTTTAACGGTATAAAATTTCTAAGAAAAATTGCATAATCCAACGTACTTTTTAACAGTTTCGAACCATTGCATCAGTCTCAACGGCCAAATAATTCTTGGGAATTTGATGAATCAAGGGGATGATATGATGAAACAATCCAACGTATTTTTTCAACGGACAAATTATTCCGAGAATGTAAACGGTTCAATCATTCCTCGAAATTTACTTCTTCGTCATGATGAAACATCTCAACGGAAAAATCACTCGCAGAATTGCAACGGTCAAATAATTCTTGAAATTTGCTTGGGGGGGGGGGATTTTACACATATGATCATTGCTATAAATTCAGTTACATTCACACTGAGTTTGTTAGTGTATTTTTCAAGATGGACCGCGATACCGGGCCTCCTCCGCGAATACTACGAGTCCTAGAGAATGCTTATCAAACAGTGCTCTATCACGACATAGAGCGATGGATTAATAAATGCATTCGTTATATTCAACTTTACACGAGCGCCCTGAACAGGGGAAATCCATCGGTGGGGAAGAAGAACCAAGTTTTATCAATCATCGCTTGCATCCAGCGTTATGAAGAAAGGTTCAGAGACAGACTGCATCAAGGAGGTCGCATGCAGGTGTCATCTGGTAGCGGAGAAGAATCACTCACTCGTCGAGTTCGCTGGAAGGATGGTCCACTGGCCTTTCGAGGCCGAATACGTTCTGGCATTATAATCAATCTTCAAAATAAGGATCCTAAGAGGTTTCTTAACGATGCAAAAGAATTGTCAATTGCCCGTTTGGAGAATGTTCGTGAGAGCAATGGAAATATTAAAGTCAACAATATACTAGCGTGTAAATTTCAAATAAAAAAGGAAGAAGTCATCAATAGTGAAATTAAATATTTCAATACGAAAAATGTAATTATTTTGCCGACCACAGATCTCGGTGAATGGTTTGATGAGAATGTCACGGAACCATTGCTTACAAAAATTGAGGATTTCCAAGAATGTGATTCAGGATGGGAACTAATTGAAATTCTACATTTGATGATTAATATGAATCGATATGCTCCTCTCAGTGCTGGCTTATCGACATTTGCTACGCTGCCGTATCATATACAACTGAAAAAAGCTGTTATGAATATAAAAAATGCCGATCAATTTTGCTTCTTGTGGTTAGTTATCGCTGCTCTCTATCCAGCAAAGAATAACAGATGTCTTACTTCATCATATCCTCATTATACGATCGCAACTATACCTCAAAGTCAAAAGACTCTTGATTATAAGGGTATCAACTTCCCCATCGCTTTGAGTGATGTTCATATATTTGAGAAGAAAAATAACATATCCATCAATATTTACGGTATTGAAAATGAAAGCAATCATCAAAAAGAAATAGTGCCTTTTTACCTCAGCAAAGTGGAGTCTCACATACCTACAATTCATTTACTACTTTTTTGTTCGAATATACATGTTCCAGCTAATGCACAGCCAGTTTATCACTATGCGTGGATTAGCAATCTTTCAAAACTTGTGAGTGCAAGTGNAGGATTCAATGTTTTCAATGTTCCTGATGACTCTCAAGATGGATATATTCTGGAAGTAGACTTGGAGTATCCCAGAGAACTGCATGATGCACACCGAGATCTACCGCTGTGTCCCGAGCATTTTGTCCCTCCAAATCGTAAGAATAAAAAGCTTATGACTACTCTATATGCTAAAAAATCTTACGTTATACATTACAGAAATTTAAAGCAATGTCTGACTCTTGGTATGAAATTGACAAAAATTCTCCGAATATTGAAGTTTAAGCAGGGAACATGGCTCAAGCCCTACATTGATTTAAATACTGAAAAAAGAAAAGAATCGAAGAATGACTTTGAGAAGAATTTCTTCAAATTGATGAATAATGCAGTCTTTGGGAAAACCATGGAAAATGTGAGGAAACATAAAAATATCAAATTAGTAATTAAATGGGAGGGGAGGTATGGAGCAAGAGCTCGTATTGCTCAGCCTAATTTTCACAGTAGTCTCATTTTCGACGATAATGATATGGTAATAATTGAGATGAGTCGTGCAAAAATCAATTTTAATAAACCCATCTACATTGGATTTGCTATCTTGGATTTGTCTAAAATCTGGATCTACGATTTTCATTACAATTATGTGAAAAAAGTGTTTGGTGACAAGTCGAAGTTGATGTACACAGACACAGATAGTCTTTTATATTATTTCACTGTTCCAGACATTTATGAGTTCATCAAAGACAGTCCATCAAAATTCGACACTTCGGACTATCCCGAGAATAATGTTTATGGAATAAAAAGACACAATAAAAAAGTGTTGGGTGTAATGAAGGATGAATGTAATGGTCGGATTATAACTGATTTTATCGGCCTGCGTGCCAAATTGTATACTTTCAAGGTGTTGGGTGAGGTACGGGAGAAGAAGCGTGCAAAAGGTGTAAAAAATGCAATGCTGAAAACAATTACGTTTGAAGATTATAAAAACTGTCTTTTTCAGAAAACAAACATTGTCAAACCTCAATATTTAATTCAGAGTAAAAAGCATCAAGTTTATACTGTAAGGCAAAACAAATTGGCACTGAGCTCCGATGATGATAAAAGAATCTTATTACCCGATTCAACAGATACTGTACCTTATGGATACCATGAATAAAAAATTATAATAATGATTTTTGAAAAAAAAATTTATTCATTTTTATTTTGGAAATTACATTTCATTGACATTGATCCAACTATTATGAGTACTATCAAATCCCAACCACTTCACATATGCCTTCGCCCCCTTCCTCTTCAACACTTTCTCAACCAGATACACATCTGGATACTTGACACTCGCTAATTCCTCCTGATAAAAACCTCCTTCGATTGATTCATCATTATGATCCATCAGCTTGTAAGTTACGGGTATGGGTTCTGCACTTTCTTGATTGTAAATATTTCTGTAGTCCAGTTTAGGGTGTAGCCTTTCTCGAAAACAGTTTTATACTTGCTGATTCGCACTTTATCACCCACTTTGAATTTAATTTTCAGCTTTCGAATCGCTCCTGATTTTCCATAAATGTTTCTCAACAATAATTTCTCCATTTTTGTGGTGACATCCTTCGGCTTCATTTTGATGGTGCGATGTTTTGTATCATTGTATTCTATTACTAAATCATCTACAATATCAATCCATTTATAGGTTCCACGGATTGAAAATTGCTTCCACATTTTATTTTTCAGTGTTCGATTGAAACGGTCACATATCGACGCCTTGAGATTGCTGAAAGTAGAATACAGGTCGATGTGATGTTTTTTCATAAGAGTCTGGAAATCCTTGTTGTAGAATTCTTTGCCTTGATCCACATGTAGTTTCTTTGGAATTCGCCCGTCCAGCAAAATTTTGTTCATGGCAATTGTGACATCTTTACCATTTTTTGATTTAATAGCAATGGCCCACGCATACTTGGAAAAAATATCAATTACAGTGAGGAGATATCGATAGTTTTTGTTCGAGTTTGCATATTTCACCATGTCCACGAGATCGGCCTGCCACGTTTCATCCAATCCACGCATTTCAACGCGTCTTCTTGGATAATTTCTTCGTGCTGGGCGATGCAGCTCGTCCGCGATTGTTCGTTTTTGGGACTCCATTTAATTGTTTCTGTGTGTCGGCAATTTTACGCCGTCGGTTTTCCAGCAATTTCTCTATTTTTTCAAAACGTGTATTTATAGTGGACTCCAACTCTCCAATCGTCTTCTCCAATTTTTTTTCCAAATCTATCGTCAAATTGTGTTTCACCAGATCGACAGTTTTTTGCAAATTTTCTCGTAAAATTCGCAATGAAATTGCATCAGACTCCTCCAGTGGATCAGCAATGGCACATAACCTTTTACCTTCTAAACTGTAATTTCCATCGAGAGTACGTTTAAATCCATCACCTGGTGGACCTCTCCTGCTAAGAGTGGAGGCCTTACTGCTGTATAACAGGCGTCCGAACACATCGACACTCATGATGCAAGTGAGAGCATTTACGTGAGGGAACATGTTAATATATTATTTCAGCCTCTCGTAATTCTTCAATAATGGAGAGGATTTCATTTGTATGACTGAAATTGCCTGCAGCTTGAGATGCCATGAGTAAACGAAGTCTATCCACCAATTCATTCGGATTATCCCAGTAAATATAATCCATTCTCCTGGCTGTTGTCTTTGGAGCCACCATCAGGTCTGGTATTAGAGCTTCACCACTTTTTGAAGTTGATGATACTAGTGGTAAAATTATATTTGTAAATTTTTCAGTGGGGTTTTTATCTTTGATAGGTTTGGATGGATGATAATACAGTCGATGTGCATGTGTACTCCGTAAAATTTCTCCATAATTTTCTCTATCTGTTGACGTGACATGCATCATCTTTGGATCTCTGTTGAATATTAACATCAGGAGACCTGAAGTTAAATCATATGATTTTTCCTCAATCATCAATGTATCGCCACGGAAAGTAACAATTGCATTCCCAATTTTCCAGTTTTCACCACTTTGACGAACACCAAATTGTCTATCGAGTTCTTTTTCCTTTGCTGTACCGAACTTATTGAGATAAAATTGAAGGAGATTCCCAGTGTCAGACCTGTTTAGGGGAGAGGATTCATCAGTTACTTCTTCCTCAGATGTTGTAGGGAAGACGTCTTTTTTCAGAGAGAAGTTATCATCGACAAATGATGGTCCTCCATGTTGAATTGATGGAACTTCATACTTCTCATCTGCTCTACTTCTTTTCATTCTCTTGATTGTCATCAGACTCTTATAGTTATTCTGCTTTTGAACTTCTGCATGATTAACCAATTTTTCAAGAGGTGTCACTACCGGCTTCAAAGCTTCATTAATAGCACGTTCAGCCGTATCTTTACCAAGCTTTATAGCTCTATATTTATGACGAATGGCTTTACTGGCTTCAGCAATGTGCTGCAACACACTTGACTCTTGTTGCAAGTCCTGGCGCTGCATGTTGAGCGTTATACGTTCGATTTAACACTGTCTCGAATTTCACTAATCAATCACTATTTATGTACACATAGCAATCGAATCCTCTCCGATATCGTCCCTCATGCAATTCACAATCTTTATTAATAGTAATGAAACCATATTTGTCCGTGTTCCAACACGCGGAGCACAATTCCTTGAACTGGGTGTACAGCATATCAGTATTAACATGATCATGATAGATATGCTTTAAATTCATCTCATCTTGACGAAAGAGTATAAGCAAATTCGCATTATCCCGCACCAAATGTTTCGGGATTCGAGCGTAAGTTTGACAAAGATAGAAACTGTCTACATTTCGATGTCGACCCATGCAAAAAAATGCTCGAATATTATCTTGCTTTTCACATGCTACATCATCAAATATCATGATGGAGTTGGGTCTAGTCTCTTCAGGTTTGACCACTTCATCATGATCATTGAAAGGGAAATAGCCAATAACTTGTACTGATTCCAATAAATCTTTCAAGAATTGATATTTCGGTTGATTCAGAGATTTTGAGTATACGTAAACATTCTCAAATTTCAAGCCATTCGGGTGGGTAATAAGTGCAAGCAGAGCATTGGTTTTGCCACAGTTGGAAGGTCCACATATGATTGCACGAACAGTATTTGGTAAGAGTGGGCCGTGCCGATTCTTTTTCTTGTCTTTCTTTTTATCCGTAATTCTATCGAAATTAATGACAGGCAGCTTGGAACTTTGCTCCTTGAACTCCATGACGACGACTGATGGAAAAATCTTTAAATACAGTGTATTTATTCATTTCCAGTCAGTCTTTGAGAGATCATGGTGGTGAACAAACGTGCCAAAACCTCCAAGGGTGAAGGTTTTGTGAATAAACTCATCAACAAGTTACCCATTGAATTGCATGTACCTGGCTATCAGTACTGTGGACCCGGAACAAAGCTAGCCAAGAGATTGGCACGTGGAGATTTGGGGATAAATCCCCTGGATGCAGCGTGCAAAGAGCACGATATAACTTATTCAAAGAATCCAGAGAACTTGACAGCTAGACACGCAGCAGATAGTGTCCTTGCTGATAAAGCTTGGCAACGAGTTTTGGCCAAGGACGCTGGTTTAGGTAAAAAAGCAGTGGCTTGGAATGTTGCAAACGTCATGAATATGAAAAGAAAAATCGGCATGGGTGTTAATCGTAAACTGAATGTGAAGAAGAAAAAGAAGACTGGAAAAGGCTGTCGAAAGAAGTCCGGTGGTGGTAGTAAGAAGAAGACGTTGTTGCGTCATATTATGCAAGCTGCGAAAGGCTCCATGCACTCTGGAGTTGATCCGGTCAAGAGTGCATTGAAAGGTGCACGTGAGGCAGTAAAACATGCAGGAGGAAGGAAAAAAATAAAACCATCGTCGAGAGTTCTTCCCATTTCATCCAAAATTGGTGGAATTTTACCAGCATTCCTGATCCTACTGTTTGCAGGACGCAGTACCACTGGTGCTTTAGCTGGTGGTGCTTCAGGTATAGCCAGAGCAATTGGCGCTTCGAGGCAGGCCGCTAAAGACCTTGAAGAGAGCAAAAGGCATAACCGATCGATGGAAGCCATTGCTCTGGGCAAAGGAATGTACTTGAAACCCTATAAATCTGGTTTGGGCTTGCACTTGAATCCGAAAAACTAATAAAAATATACCCCCCCGATCGNAAGCCATTGCTCTGGGCAAAGGAATGTACTTGAAACCCTATAAATCGGGTTTGGGCTTGCACTTGAATCCAAAAAACTAATAAAACTACCCCATCGAGCGCTCACCGACAGTGATCTGGTGAAATATGCAGGCATCATGGGAATACCGCATTTTCGTGGTGTCTACATGAGAAATAATATGCCTCAAAGTGGACCATGGAAGAATGAGTCAGCCATAGTTATGCTTGATGATAAAGATGGCCCAGGTACTCATTGGGTTGCCTACAAGTNAGCTGACATCGCAGAATATCAAGTTTCTGAGGAGTCTGGGTCTGAAAATTCACGCAAGAGTAAAAAAGTGAAGTTTTGCTGTTTCGTCCTCGCCTGTTGTTACTGCCGTCTACCATGGAAGAAGTCTTAAATATTCAAAAACGAATCATCTTTGATGAGTCCATTGCTCATTATGAAATGCACGCACATCAACCGTTTGCATCATCGTCCTTCAGCAACAATGATGAAATTCGTATTGCTGTGCAACATCAAGACCTCTGCCTGTTACCCAACAAGAGTTCACTGCATATTTGTGGTTGATTGACGAGAGAAGACAACAATGAGGTTGTTGCTCGCACTGAACTCGTCAACAATGCAATCTGTCATCTATTCGAGGAGATACGTTATGAATTGAATGCTGTGGAAATTGATAGATGCAAAAATGTTGGCTTGACAACACTTATGAAAAACTATATTTCACAAAGTCCCAATCAGAGTTATCTCATGGAAAATGCTGGCTGGATGATGGATCAAGGGAAAAAAATAACCGATGATCAAGGGTACTTCGATGTGTCCATTCCTTTGAGCATGATTTTCGGATTTGCTGAAGATTACCAGAGAATTATTGTGAACGCAAAGCACGAGTTGATTCTGACACGTTCACACAACGACCTCAATGCCATCATTCAACAAGCTCTTGAAGGAGGACAGCGGGCTGAAACTTTTAAAATTACCATGACGAAGATGGACTGGATGATTCCCTATATTAAACCTGCGGACTCTCGAAAAGTGCAACTTCTTAATCAGATTTCAAAAGACAATCTTATACCAATTAGTTTTCGAGCTTGGGAGTTATATGAATATCCTTTATTACCCAGAACATCGAAACATGTCTGGGTTGTGAAGTGTTCTACACAACTGGAGAAACCACGCTATGTCATTGTCGATTTCCAAACAGCCAGAAAGAACGAAGCCACTAAGAATGCCAGTGTATTTGATCATTGCAATATTCGAGAGATCAAATTATTCTTAAACTCACAAAGCTATCCCGATGGAAATCTGAATCTAGA